GCAGCAGAGTGGGGACTCAGTAGGGGGCGCTCTCCCCTCGGTGCCTTTGCTGACCCCAGTGTGGTGCTAGGGGGCGCTGTGCTGCAGGGGGTGGGGTGGGGGCTCAGTAGGGGGCGCTCTTCCCTCGGTGCCTGCGCTGACCCCAGTATGGCAGTAGGGGGTGCTGTGTGCAGGGAGCAAGGTGGGGACTCAGAACGGCCCCAGCGTCTGGCTCTGACGATCTGTTTGCGTCCCTGTAGCTGGGCACCCTGCGTTTCTGTGGCACGACGGAGTTCGCAAGTGGCCAGTGGATTGGGGTGGAGCTGGACGAGCCAGAGGGCAAGAATGACGGAAGCGTTGGAGGAATACGCTACTTCATTTGCCCTCCGAAGCAAGGTAAATAGAGCCCGGACGCCTGGGTTCTGTTCCCAGCTCTAGGATGGGAGTGGGGTCTAGAGGCTATGGGGTGGGACTGGGAGCCCGGACACCTGGGTTCTGCTCCTCTCTCCAGAAGGGAATATGGCTTAGTGGATACTGGGCTTTACAGCTAAGCATTTTCTGAGTCCACCATTGACTGTTGGGTTTTTTTCTCCATCTTCTTAGGGGTTTTTGCCTCTGTGTCTAAAATCGCCAAAGCCACAGACCAGATGCCATCATCGGTGACGTCCACCCCAAAAACCCCCCGCATGGACTTCTCCCGCATGACCGGGAAGGGCCGGAAGGACAAGAAAGGTAGCGGGGCAGTTCTAGCGGCTGAAGCAGCAGGGGCTGGGAGCCAGGACTCCCCAGCTCTGGGAAGGGAGTGGTGTCTAGTGGTTAGAGCAGGGGGGGCTGGGAGCCAGGACTCCTGGGTTCACTTCTATGCCCTGCTCTGGGAGAAGTGGGGTTTAGTGGTTAGAGCTGGGTGGGGGGGAGCGGTGCGGGGAGACAGGACTCCTGGTTTCCACTCCCAGCTCTGGCACTGATTCCGGGCGTGACCTTGGGTGTGCCCCTTTCCTCCCATGTCTCATTCGTCCCCATCTGGAAAGGTACTTGGCTAATTAACCCTGAAGACCCTTTATCACCGGGGGTGGGTGGAAAGAGCTGACCTGGCCTTTGGATCTGAAATCTCATCCAGGGGCTTGACATGGCAGCCGATTAATCAGGGGCGGCTGGGGCAGGACTGCGCACCGGGCTCTTTGCTAGGAGATAAACCAGGCGCCCCCCGGCCCTGTCCTCGGATCGTGCCTGCCCCTCCGAGTCTGGCGGGGGAGAGGTCAAAGCCCCGGCAGGCTGGCCGGCTCTGGTGCGGTAAAGAGCGGAGGGGGAAATTTGCATGCTATTTACATATGCAAATTAGAAAGGCCCAGCCTCCTCACCAACCAATCCCACCAGTTCTCCCCACCCATGTGCCTCACTCCTCCCCCATATTCCAGTCAGTCTCCTCCTCTCCACCCCCTGCCCCCTTTCCACCCCCTCCCTCAGCCAACCTGGGCTTGGCATAGAATCATAGAATATCAGGGTTGGAAGGGACCTCAGGAGGTATCTAGTCCAACCCCCTGCTCAAAGCAGGACCAACCCCAACTAAATCATCCCAGCCAGGGCTTTGTCAAGCCGGGCCTTAAAAACCTCTAAGGAAGGAGATTCCACCACCTCCCTAGGGAACCCATTCCAGTGCTTCACCACCCTCCTAGTGAAATAGTGTTTCCTAATATCCAACCTAGACCTCCCCCACTGCAACTTGAGACCATTACTCCTTGTTCTGTCATCTGCCACCACTGAGAACAGCCGAGCTCCATCCTCTTTGGAACCCCCCTTCAGGTAGTTGAAGGCTGCTATCAAATCCCCCCTCACTCTTCTCTTCTGCAGACTAAATAACCCCAGTTCTCTCAGCCAATCCTCATACGTCATGTGCCCCAGCCCCCTAATCATTTTCCTTGCCCTCCGCTGGACTCTCTCCAATTTGTCCACATCCTTTCTGTAGTGGGGGGACCAAAACTGGACACAATACTCCAGGTGTGGCCTCACCAGTGCCGAATACAGGGGAATAATCACTTCCCTCGATCTGCTGGCAATGCTCCTACTAATACAGCCCAATATGCCGTTGGCCTTCTTGGCAACGAGGGCACACTGCTGACTCATAGCCAGCTTCTCGTCCACTGTAATCCCCAGGACCTTTTCTGCAGAACTGCTGCTTAGCCAGTCGGTCCCCACCCTGTAGCAGTGCATGGGATTCTTCCGTCCTAAGTGCAGGACTCTGCACTTGTCCTTGTTGAACCTCATCAGATTTCTTTTGGCCCAATCCTCCAATTTGTCTAAGTCACTCTGGACCCTATCCCTACCCTCCAGCGTACCTACCTCTCCCCCCAGCTTAGGCCTGGTCTACACTACGACTTTAATTCGGATTTAGCTGCGTTAATCCGAATTAATCCTTAACCCGTCCACACAACGGAGCCAGTTACTTCGAATTAAAGGGCACTTAAAATCGATTTCTGTACTCCACCCCGACGAGCGGAGTAGCACCAAAATCGATTTTGTTAATTCGAATTAGGGGTAGTGTGGCCGCACACCACCGAATTAATGTGGTTAAAATTAATGGGGTAGTGTGGCCGCACACCACCGAATTAATGTGGTTAAAAACCGAATTAATGTGCTTAGTGTGGCCGCGCACAATCGAATTTATACAATCTGTTTCCCAAATTCGAATTATCTAAATTCGAATTAATCTCGTAGTGTAGACGTACCCTTAGTGTCATCTGCGAACTTGCTGAGGGTGCAATTCATCCCATCGTCCAGATCATTAATAAAGATGTTGAACAAAACTGGCCCCAGTGCCGACCCCTGGGGCACTCCCCTTGATACCGCTGCCAACTAGACATCGAGCCGTTGATCACTACCCGTTGAGCCTGACGATCTAGCCAGCTTTCTATCCACCATATAGTCCATTCATCCAAGCCATACTTCTTTAACTTGCCGGCACCTCCTGCTGTGGGCTCCTCCCTCTGCTCCCTCCAAGTCACTCATTGGAGGAGAGAGGAAAAGTTGAGGGCTGGGAGATGGCAGGATTGGCTTAGAGATGGGCAGGGTTTCAATCACCGCTCTGGCACCAGGCTAACCACTGGGGCAGCTGCTGCTGGAGGTCTGGGCAGCCCTGGGCTGGTCTCACTGCCTCTCTGTTCAGTCCTCAGGAAGAAGTCTCCCTCCGTGGGCAGCCTGGACCGAGAAGGGCTGAAGATCGAGATCGGGGACCAGGTGCTGGTGGCGGGGCAGAAGCAGGGCATCATCCGGTTCTACGGCAAGACGGACTTTGCGCCGGGTAAGGTACCGGCTGGCGGGAGGGCAGAGCTGCCGATTGGTGGGTGGAAAAGACTGTAACAGGGTCTTTTAGCTCTGGCGTGGGAGTCCGGGGTTTGAGCCCGCGTCTCGTGCTGGGAAATGGACTGCTGACGGCT